TGTTGAGTCTATAGGCAATGTTGAGTCTATGGGCAGTGTTGAGTCTATGGGCAGTGTTGAGCCTATGAGCAGTGTTGAGCCTATGGGCAGTGTTGAGTCTATGGTGCAGTGTTGAGTCTATGGTGCAGTGTTGAGTCTATGGTGCAGTGTTGAGTCTGTGGTGCAGTGTTGAGTCTATGGGCAGTGTTGAGTCTATGGTGCAGTGTTGAGTCTATGGGCAGTGTTGAGTCTATGGGTAGTGTTGAGTCTATGGGCAGTGTTGAGTCTATGGGTAAGTGTTGAGTCTCTAGGCAATGTTGAGGCTATGGTGCAGTGTTGAGTCTATGGGCAGTGTTGAGTCTATAGGCAATGTTGAGTCTATGGGCAGTGTTGAGTCTATAGGAAATGTATGGGTAGTGTTGAGTCTATGGGCAGTGCTGAGCATATGGGCAGTGTTGAGTCTATGGTGCAGTGTTGAGTCTCTAGGCAATGTTGAGTCTATGGGCAGTGTTGAGTCTATGGGCAGTGTTGAGTCTATGGGAAATGTATGGGCAGTGTTGAGTCTATGGGAAATGTATGGGGAGTGTTGAGTCTATGGGTAGTGTTGAGTCTATGGGCAATGTATGGATAGTGTTGAGTCTATGGGCAGTGTATGGATAGTGTTGAGTCTATGGGCAGTGTATGGATAGTGTTGAGTCTATGGGAAATGTATGGGTAGTGTTGAGTCTATGGGTAATGTATGGGTAGTGCTGAGTCTATGGGTAGTGTTGAGTCTATGGGAAATGTATGGGTAGTGTTGAGTCTATGGGTAATGTATGGGTAGTGCTGAGTCTATGGGTAGTGTTGAGTCTATGGGAAATGTATGGGGAGTGCTGAGTCTATGGGTAGTGTTGAGTCTATGGGCAATATATGGGTAGTGTTGAGTCTATGGGTAGTGTTGAGTCTCTGGGCAAGTGTTGAGTCTCTGGGCAGTGTTGAGTCTCTGGGCAGTGTTGAGTCTATGGGAAATGTATGGGGAGTGTTGAGTCTACAGATACTCAAGAGAGACAGAGACCCACAGAGACTCATAGAGATACATTAAAGACGGTGACATTAACTCATGAACACATTTCTGCTGCTGCTGCCATCATCACCACCACCACCACCAAAGACAAAGACAAAGACCCCCCATATAGCCTTCACAGACTGTTGGGGCAAGTCCTATTAGCGAGGGGGCTGGTGGCCAAAACCACGCCCGACCGCCTTTGTCTCCCCAGTGGCGATGTTCACTACACACCGCACCAGGTACTTATTTGAGGCTGAGTCGACCTAGGGGAGGCACAGGACTGGTTCAAATAATCGCCACTGGTGTTGGCCATGAGCGGAAATCGAACTCGGGTCGCTGGGTTCGTAGCGCAGCGTAGCGCTAACCGCTCCACAGAGGTCGCAAACGGGTTTTGATTTCTTACCCGTACCCGGCCGCACCAGGATCGCAAATGGGTACCCGTACCCGGCCGGGTGCGGATACCCGTTCCCTACCCGTACCCTACCCGAAATGAGTGACAAACGGTTACTCACCAGTGACTCACGGCCTACCCGTACCCGTACCCGGCCGCACCAGGGTCGCAAACGGCTACCCATACCCATACCCGGCCGGGTACGGGTAGCCGGGTATCGGTTAGGGTACGGGTATCGGGTACCCGGTTGCGACCTCTGAGCAGCGCCCATCACGAGCCTCCTCCATAGAGGCCAATCTTGACACCGCTGGTACCAATCATCGGCAAGTCCACTCAACTCCACATCCTCCCGGACCGCATCGGTCCGTCTCTTCTCCAGTCCATGTGTCGTGCCTGTTAAGGCCCCTCTATGCGGTCAAACAGAAGATGCTTGGGCATGAGGTGGCTGGGCATGCGGGCTACATTACCCAGCCAATGCAGCTTTGCCTGCCGGAGGAGCTCACCGATGGGACTTTGTCCAGCTCTCTCAAGGGTCTGTGAGCTCACCACACAATCCAGCCTGCAGGTTAAACCCAGGATGGACCGTAGGCGTGCCAGCCTGAATGTTTCTAACTGGCGCAGATGTTCCATTAGAGGGGTCCACGTTTCACAAGCATAGAAACGGGAGGGCATGGCTGTCACCACCATCATCATCAGCAGCAGCACCACCATCATCATCATCAGCACCACCACCATCATCAGCAGCACTACCACCACTACTACCATCATAATCAGCAGCAGCATCACCACCACCATCATCATCATCAGCAGCACCATCATCAGCACCACCACCACCATCAGCAGCACCACCACTACCACCATAATCAGCAGCAGCACCACCACCACTACTACCACCACCAACATCATCAGCACCATCACCATCGGCAGCATCACCACCACCATCATCATCAGCAGCAGCACCGCCGCCACCACCATCAGCAGCAGCAGCACCATCATCATCATCACCACCACCATCATCAGCACCACCATCACCATCAGCAGCATCACCACCACCATCATCATCAGTAGCACTGCCACCACCACCACCATAATCAACAGCAGCACCACCACTACCACCAACATCATCAGCAGCAGCAGCACCACCACCACCACCGTCATCACCACCACCGTCATTACCACCGCTACCGTCACCATCATCACCACCGAGACCAGAACAGAACCACCGTTCCAAAAAAACAAAAACGGGGGTTTCATTAACCGAAGCCGGATTAGCGGCGGCCGTGGGCTCCGTGACGGGCGCGTCGGGGCGTTGCCGGGCAACATCGGCGACGAGGAGCCGGACCCGGCAAAATCCACCACACGCCAGCGCCGGTGGCGGCTCACACCGAGAGCCAAGGGCACAGGCCATTCCCTGCCCCACCTCCGGCAAGCCGGCAGCCCGTGCCTCTGCTGAAAGGAAGGCGCCCTCCCCCCCCGCCCGTCCTGGTGAAACGTAAGGTAAGGCCTCTCTCGCAAGGCCAAGGGTGGCGATTTCCACGCTCGTGTGTGTCTGGTAAGCAGCGGTAGCGGTCGGGGTTTTTGCTCGAGTGAATGCTGGTGGCATTGGCCAGATGTTTATAGGCAAGGACCGCTTTTGACAATCGGTGTCTGCTTCTTGGTTCATATTCTTAGGTTTTTTCGGTAAAGTCACCGTGTAGGTAAAACATTAAAATAAAAGTAAAATAAAATAAAAATCACGACGTTTCGGAGGCAACACAAGCTTCCGTCTTCAGGTGGAACCGTCACAGCCACGACAGCTGCATCAAGTAAATGAGAGATTACAAGAGCTACCACTCCGTATATATAATGGTTGGAGAGGGGGGGGAAGGGCCAAGGCACACTTTATATTCATATGGTAAGGTGAGGCTTAAGACTAAGAATAGACTGCATAACAAAGGCAGGAGGTTTGCAGAGCACCTTGGTCTCGGAAAAGACAATTTCATGAGAGCCCACAGAGTTGTAGCAATGATCGGCAACGGCCGAAGAATCAGTTCTGCCGTGTTTCAGATCTGACTAGTGCTCGCGGACACGATCAGAAACGTGACGTTCCGTTTCTCCAATGTAGCAATCACCACAAATGCAACTCAATTTGTAGACTCCAGGATACTGTAAGTCAGGAACGACATCTTTCACATATGGTTCATTCCGGTAAAGTCACGTAGAAGGGAAATAATAAAACAATAAAAATAAAACGTAATAAAATAATTCTCACGACGCAAGCAGCCGTCCTCAGGTGAAGAATGAAACGCCACCAAGCTTGGAGCGACTATTTCAGCTGCTGGGTTGGATGGAGGGGAAAGAAGAGCGCCTTGACAAAATAATTTGCACATCAAGAGGAATTGAGCATATTTATGGGAAATGCGAAGGAGGTGGGCGGGGGGTTTCAAAGTCATATTATGCCCGTGCATTATGCAGAACCAACGCTGGTGGACTGCCCCAGATGATTAGAGGGAAGAGACCCTCTCTCTGCTAGTCATGAGGGGTGTCCATACTCTTTGGCACGTACTCCAGCTCACTGGCGAAGTGGCGCTGGTCGGAGTTGCAACGGGCCCCTATGGTGTAGTGTTTTGATGAGGGAATTCTTCTGGGGTGGATGGTGGTGGAAGTCAGGCTTTAGATAGGCATCCGTGTGGGTGGCTTTCCTGTAGACCGAATGTCCCTACGAGCCATCAGGTCTCTTCCAGATCAAAACATCCAGGAATGGTACCTACGTGACTTTACCGAAAAAACCTAAGAATATGATGGTAGCGTGCCATCACAAGCGTCACTGTTGAGAGGACACATCTGATTGGTTGTCCCGGTGCGTGGGTACGTGGGTCGGTGGGTGTGTGGGTGGGAGAGTGGGGTGTGTGGGTGGCAGAGTGGGGTGGGTGGGGGGGGTGGGTGGGTGGGAGAGTGGGGTGGGTGGGAGAGTGGGGTGGGTGGATGGGAGAGTGGGGTGGGTGGATGGGAGAGTGGGGTGGGTGGGGTGGGTGGGAGAGAGGGGTGGGTGGGTGGATGGGAGAGTGGGTGGATGGTTTGGTGGGTGGTTGAGTGAGTGGGTGGATGGTTTGGTGGGTGGTTGAGTGAGTGGGTGGATGGTTTGGTGGGTGGTTGAGTGGGTGGGTGGATGATTTAGTGGGTGGGTGAGTGGGTGGGTGATTTGGTGGTTGAGTGAGTGGGTGGTTGAGTGAGTGGGTGGGTGGATGATTGGGTCATTGGGTGGGTTGAGCCGAAACGATCGTAACGCTCACACAACCACGTGACCATTTCATTTGTTCTGGCTGCAACGTTCGGTGGTCGGGTGTTTGTAACGATACAGAATTCGGGACAGGGTCTCTGCGGTGATGGTTTACCCTCTGCGACACGGCCATTGTAGACCCACAGACAGACCCAAACACGGCCATTATGGACCCACAGACAGACACAGACACGGCCATTATGGACCCACAGACAGACACAGACACGGCCATTATGGACCCACAGACAGACACAGACACGGCCATTATGGACCCACAGACAGACACGGCCATTATGGACCCACAGACCCAGACACGGCCATTATGGAACCACAGACAGACCCAGACACGGCCATTATAAACCTCCTTGAGTCAGAAACAAAGAAAGAGAGACACCAACACCCAGGGCTACAACCCAGCTAACTCAGCTGCGCTGGCTAAATGTCTAAGCATCTCACCTGGCAATTGATGTCTTGAAACGGCGTCCCAGTCACCTCTGGACCCTGGACACACACACAAAGACAAAGAACCACCTCGTGTAGCTTTAACAGACTGTCGGGGCAAGTGCTGTTCAAGTTCAGAGTTCATGTATTAGGGGTATAGCCCTGTGAGCCATTCGGCTCTTGAATCGGGTGCAACTGCAACAAACAGAAAACAAAAAAACATGAACAAAAAACATCTTAAAGTGAATATGTGACTGAGTGCAAACTGAAAATCCAAGAAAAGACAGCAAAATATTGCAGAAAAAAACACCGTATACCAACGCTGTGCAAACATCCCAGTGGGATGCAAGTCAAACAACAACAACAACCACAAGACAACTTAGATTAAGGCCATCAGTCTAACTCTGTACTACAACAAACATGGCTAAACCAATACACTGTTGGCGAGTGGCACCTATGAAGGCTGGCTCGGCACACGAGGGGGTGGGTGGCCAGCACCACACCTGGCCGCCTTTGCCTCCCCAGTGGCGATGTTTACACACCGCACCAGGCACCTACTTGAGACAGAGTTCACCTAGGAAAGGTTCAGGACCAGTTCAGATAATCGTCACTGGTGTCGGCCGTGAATGGGAATCGAACTCGGGTCGCCGGGTTCGTAGCATAGTGCAATAACCCCCACCGCCGCCACCCCCACCACAGCCGCCGACACAGACGACACCACCGCCAACATCCACACAGCCACCACCACGACCACCACCGTAACTGCAGCCACCACCGACACCACCACCACCACCGCCACCCACACAGCCACCGCCACCGCCACCACCGCCACCCACACAGCCACCCACACAGCCACCCACACCGCCACCACCACCACCGCCACCACCACCGCCACCCACACAGCCACCGCCACCACCATAACTGCAGCCACCACCGACACCACCACCACCGCCACCCACACAGCCACCGCCACCGCCACCACCGCCACCGCCACCCACACAGCCACCCACACAGCCACCACCACCGCCACCGCCACCCACACAGCCACCGCCACCCACACAGCCACCGCCACCACCATAACTGCAGCCACCACCGACACCACCACAGCCACCACCCAGCCACTGCCACCGACACCACCACCACCACCACCCACACAGCCACCGCCACCACCGTAACTTCCACCACCACCGCCACCCACACAGCCACCACCCAGCCACCGCCACCGACACCACCGCCACCCACACAGCCATCGCCACCGACACCACCACCACCACCCACACAGCCACCGCCACCACCGTAACTGCCGCCACCACCGACACCACCACCACCACCACCCACACAGCCACCGCCATCACCGTAACTGCCGCCACCACCGACACCACCACCGCCACCCACACAGCCACCGCCACAACCACCACCGTAATTGCAGCCACCACCGACACCACCACCGCCACCGCCACAACCACCACCGTAATTGCAGCCACCACCGACACCACCACCACCGCCGACACCACCACCACCGCCACCCACACAGCCACCTCCACCACCATAACTGCCGCCACCACCGACACCACCACCGCCACCCACACAGCCACCGCCACAACCACCACCGTAATTGCAGCCACCACCGACACCACCACCGCCACCGCCACAACCACCACCGTAATTGCAGCCACCACCGACACCACCACCACCGCCGACACCACCACCGCCACCCACACAGCCACCTCCACCACCATAACTGCAGCCACCACCGACACCACCACCACCACCGACACCACCACCACCGCCACCCACACAGCCACCTCCACCACCATAACTGCAGCCACCACCGACACCACCACCACCGCCACCCACACAGCCACCGCCACCACCATAACTGCCACCGACACCGACATCACCACCACCTACACCACAACCGCCACTGCCACCACCATAACTGCAGCCACCACCGACACCACCACCACCTACAGCACAACCACCACCGCCCTCTGCAGTGCGTCGTTTGACATCTCATTTGGGAGTGGCTGCGACACGGCCACCGTGGGAAGTCCGTATCCCGGTGGCTTCGAACAGGACCACCACCAGCAACCACCTTCACCACCACTACCAGCAACCACCAACAGCACCACCACCAGCAGCACCACTACCATCACCACCACCACCAGCAGCAGCACCATCAGCACCACCACCACCATCACCACTATCAGCAACCACCAACAGCACCACCACCAGCAGCACCACTACCATCACCACCACCACCAGCAGCACCACCACCAGCAACCACCTTCACCACCACTACCAGCAACCACCAACAGCACCACCACCAGCAGCACCACTACCATCACCACCACCACCAGCAGCAGCACCACCATCAGCACCACCACCACCACTAGCAGCAGCACCACCATCACCACTATCAGCAGCACCACTATCAGCAGCACCACCATCAGCACTACCAGCACCATGACCACCATCAGCAGCAGCATCATCATCAGCAGCAGCAGCACTACCATCATCAGCACCACTAGCAGCACCATCAGTACCACCATCAGCACCACCACCATCACCACCACCACAACCACCAACACCATCACCACCATGACCACCACCAGCAGCAGCACCACTGGCAGCACCACCACCACCACCATCAGCAGCAGCACCACGACCATCACCACTACCACCACCACCAGCATCAATACTATCATCATCATCACCAGCATCAATACTATCATCATCATCACCAGCATCAATACTATCATCATCATCACCAGCACTACCACGACCACCATCAGCACCACCACCACCACCTACACCACCTACACCACCGCCGCCACGACCATCACCACGACCACCATCCCTCACCCCGGCAGCATCCTTCTGCAGCAGCAGAGGCTTGGCCTCGGTGATCTGGATCTCCTGCATTTCACTCGCCATGTTCAGAGCCCAGGTTCGACACCTGTGCGGGGTGAGGAAGGGAGATAGGGAAGGGTCGAGATAGAACACACACCACCATCGTCAACGCCACCATCATCATCATCAACGCCACCATCATCATCAACGCCACCATCATCATCAACACCACCATCATCATCATCAACGCCATCGTCATCAACACCACCATCATCAACGCCACCATCATCATCAACGCCACCATCATCATCAACGCCACCACCATCGTCAACGCCACCACCATCGTCAACGCCACCACCATCATCATCAACGCCACCACCATCATCATCAACGCCACCACCATCATCATCAACGCCACCACCATCATCATCAACGCCACCACCATCATCATCAACGCCACCACCATCATCATCAACGCTACCACCATCATCATCAACGCTACCACCATCATCATCAACGCCACCATCATCATCATCAACGCCACCATCATCATCATCAACGCCACCATCATCATCATCAACGCCACCACCATCATCATCAACGCTACCACCATCATCATCAACGCTACCACCATCATCATCAACGCCACCATCATCATCATCAACGCCACCATCATCATCATCAACGCCACCACCATCATCATCAACGCCACCACCATCATCGTCAACGCCACCACCATCATCAACGCCACCACCACCATCGTCAACGCCACCATCATCATCGTCAACGCCACCATCATCGTCATCAACGCCACCACCATCGTCAACGCCACCATCGTCAACGCCACCATCATCATCAACACCACCATCGTTATCATCGCCGTCACCGCCGCGACCGCTATCATCATAAAAATCATCAACGCAACCATCATCAACGCCACCATCACCGCCGTCACCATCACCACCGTCATTATCAGCACTATAATCATCAACACCACCACCATCACCACCGTCAACATCATCACCGAGTGTGCGTGATTGAGAGTGTCAAAGTGAGAGTAAGCGGAGCTTGTTTCCTCTCCCCCTGTTCTGCAGTGTGAGTGAGTGTGAGTAGGTGAGTGTGAGTAGGTCAGTGTGAGTAGGTCAGTGTGAGGTCAGTGTGAGTAGGTCAGTGTGAGTAGGTCAGTGTGAGTAGGTCAGTGTGAGTAGGTCAGTGTGAGTAGGTGAGTAGGTGAGTGTGAGTAGGTGAGTGTGAGTAGGTAAGTGTGAGTAGGTGAGTGTGAGTGAGTGTGAGTAGGTGAGTGTGAGTAGGTCAGTGTGAGTAGGTCAGTGTGAGTAGGTCAGTGTGAGTAGGTCAGTGTGAGTAGGTGAGTGTGAGTAGGTTAGTGTGAGTAGGTGAGTGTGAGTAGGTAAGTGTGAGTAGGTGAGTGTGAGTGAGTGTGAGTAGGTGAGTGTGAGTAGGTGAGTGTGAGTAGGTCAGTGTGAGTAGGTCAGTGTGAGTAGGTCAGTGTGAGTAGGTGAGTGTGAGTAGGTGAGTGTGAGTAGGTGAGTGTGAGGAGGTGAGTGTGAGTAGGTAAGTGTGAGTAGGTGAGTGTGAGTGAGTGTGAGGAGGTGAGTGTGAGTAGGTCAGTGTGAGTAGGTGTGAGTGTGTGAGTGGAGTTTGTATCCCCTCCCCCTGTTCTGCAGAGTGTGAGTGAGAGTGTGAGTGAGAGTGTAAGAGTGTGAGTAAGTGTGAGTGAGAGTGTGAGAGTGTGAGTGTGAGTAAGAATGTGAGTAAGAGTGTGAGTGTGTGATAGTGTGAGTAAGAGTACGAGTGAGTGAGTGGAGTTTGTATCCTCTCCCCCCGTTCTGCAACGGGGTTTTGTTCCGCGTTCACAGCTTCCCTCCTCCCATAGCTAAACCAACACCCACTGTGGAACTGCTATCGGCCAAACCCACATCACCCAGCGCTGAAACATGACACCGCAAATTCCCCCCAACTGGGATCTCACACGGCACTAATCACCGCCCCCTCGTGGCGGCAGACAGACGCACAGGCAGCTGGATGGGTTGGCGAGCGAACAGGCAAATGGCAGGCTGGGTCAGCGGGTGATGAGTGAGCGAGTGAGTCTATGGATTGGTTGGCAAGAGAGCAGGAATATGGCTGGCTGGGTGAGTGAGCGAGTGAGTTCATGGATGAGCAAGAGAGTGGATGGTACGGGTATCCGTTTGCGACCCTGGTGCGGCCGGGTATGGGTACGGGTAGGCCGTGAATCTCTGGTGAGTCACCGTTTGTCACTCATTTCGGGTAGGGTACGGGTAGGGAACAGGTACCCGTTTGCGACCCTGGTGCGGCCGGGTACAGGTACGGGTAGGCCGTGAGTCACTGGTGAGTCACCGTTTGTCACTCATTTCGGGTAGGGTACGGGTAGGGAACTGGTACCCATTTACGACCCTGGTGCGGCCGGGTACGGGTACGGGTAAGGAATCAAAACCCGTTAGCGACCGCTGACGCAGGCAGAGAGACAGACGGACCCCGCTCACCCTCTCTACCCTGCTCGCCCCCACTGTCTCTCGCTCTCTCGCACGCGAACGAGCGAGCGAGCGATCAATTAATCAACACGGCCAGTCGCACCGCGTGCCCATCTCACTCGCGGGGGGTCACATTGCACAGTCACTCGAGCGCGCGGCGCGTGACCTGGGTCGTGCACCTAGCCTGGCACGGCAGGCAACCCACGGGACCTGGGTCTGTCCCGTGACCTCCTCCTCCTGCACCTAGCCTGGCACAGCAGTCAACCCACGGCACCTGCAGGGTCTCTCTCCGTGACCTCCTCCTGCACCTAGCCTGGCACAGCAGTCAAACGACGGGAACTGGGACCCTTTCCGTGAGCGCCTCCTGCACCTAGCCTGGCACAGCAGGCAACCCATGGGACCTGGGTCTGTCCCGTGACCTCCTGCACCTAGCCTGGCACAGCAGTCAACCCATAGCACCTATGGGTCTCTTGGGTTTCTATTCAAATTCTCCCTGACGATCCGAATGACGTTGTTGTCATCGGGAAGCGCTGAGGCGGCTGTCGTGCACTGCACGTGGTTGTTTTGAAATCGGATCCGGTGGTGTGGGTGGAGTGGGTGGTGTTGGTGGTGTGGGTGGGGGTGTGGGTGGTGTGGGGTGGTGTGGGTGGTGAGGGTGGTGGGGGGTGAGGGTGGGGGGGGGGTGTGGGTGGTGTGTGGTGTGGGTGGTGGTGGTGGTGGTGGTGGTGGTGGGGTGGGTGGTGGGTGGGTGGTGTGGTGTTGTGGGGTGTGTGGTTGGGTGGGGGTGGGGTGGGGGTGGTGGGTGTGGTGGGGGGTGGGTGGGGGTGGTGTGGGTGGTGAGGGTGGGTGGGTGGAGTGGGTGTGTGGTGGTGTGGGTGGTGTGGGTGGTGGGGGTGGTGGGGGTGGTGGGGGTGGTGTGAGTGGTGGGGGTGGTGTTGGTGTGGTGTGGGTGTGTGGGTGGTGTGGGTGGTGTGGGTGGATGTGGGGTGGTGTGGGTGGTGTGGGTGGTGTGGGTGGTAGTGGGTGGTGTTGGGTGGTGTGGGTGGGTGGGGTGGTGTGGGTGGAGTGGGTGGAGTGGGTGGTGTGGGTGGTGTGGGTGGTGTGGGTGGTGTGGGTGGTGTGGGTGGTGGGGTGGTGTGGGTGGTGGGGTGGGTGGGGTGGAGTGGGTGGTGTGGGTGGTGTGGGTGGGTGGGGTGGTGGGGTGGTGTGGGTGGTGTGGGTGGTGGGGGTGGTGTGGGTGGTGGGGGTGGTGTGGGTGGTTGGGTGGTGTGAGTGGTGGGGGTGGTGTGGGTGGTGTGGGTGGTGTGGGGTGGAGTGGGTGGTGTGGGTGGTGTAGGTGGTGGGGGTGGTGTGGGGGTGGTCTGTGGGTGTTGTGTGGTGGTGGGGGGTGGTGAGGGTGGTGGGGGTGGTGTGGGTGGTGGGGTGGTGGGGTGGTGGGTGGGGGGTGGTGTGGGTGGTGGGGGTGGTGGGGTGGGGTGGGGGTGGGGTGGTGGGGTGGTGGTGGGTGGTGGGGTGGTGTGGGGTGGTGGGTGGTGGGGGTGGTGTGGGTGGTGGGTGGGTGGTGGGGGGTGGTGTGGGGTGGTGGGGGTGGTGGGGGTGGTGTGGTGGTGGGGGTGGTGTGGGTGGTGGGGGTGGTGTGGGTGGTGGGTGGAGTGGGTGGTGGGGTGGTGTGGGTGGTGTGGGTGGTGGGGGTGTGGGGTGGTGTGGGTGGTTGGGGTGGGTGGGGTGGGTGGTGGGAGGTGGTGTGGGTGGTGGGGTGGTGTGGGTGGTGTGGGTGGTGGGGGGTGGTGTGGGTGGTGGGGTGGTGGGGTGGGTGGTGGTGTGGGTGGTGGTGGGGTGTGGGGTGGTGAGGGTGGTGTGGGTGGTGTGGGGGGTGGGTGGGTGGGGGGGTGGGTGGTGGGGGTGGGGTGGGTGGTGGGGGGGGTGGTGAGGGTGGTGTGGGTGGTGTGGGTGGTGGGGGTGGTGTGGGTGGTGTGGGTGGTGAGGGTGGTGGGGGTGGTGGGGGTGGTGAGGGTGGTGGGGTGGCTGTGGGTGGTGTGGGTGGTGTGGGTGGTGAGGGTGGTGGGGGTGGGGTGGTGGTGGGGGGGTGGTGTGGGTGGTGTGGGGTGGGTGGTGGGGTGGTGGGGTGGTGGGGTGGGTGGGTGGGGGTGGTGGGGGTGGTGTGGGTGGTGGGGGTGGTGTGGGTGGTGAGGGTGGTGGGGGTGGTGTGGGTGGTGTGGGTGGTGGGGGTGGTGTGGGTGGTGTGGGTGGTGGGGGTGTGTGAGGGTGGTGTGGGTGGAGTGGGGTGGAGTGGGTGGTGTGGGTGGGTGGGTGGTGTGGAGTGGTGAGGGTGGTGGGGGTGGTGTGGGTGGTGGTTGTGGGTGGTGTGGGTGGTGTGGGGTGGTGTGGGTGGTGAGGGTGGTGTGGGTGGTGAGGGTGGTGGGGGTGGTGAGGGTGGTGAGGGTGGTGTGGGTGGTGTGGGTGGTGTGGGTGGTGAGGGTGGTGGGGGTGGGGTGGGTGGTGGGGGTGGTGGGGGTGGTGTGGGTGGTGTGGGTGGTGTGGGTGGTGGGGGTGGTGTGGGTGGTGGGGGTGGTGTGGGTGGTGGGGGTGGTGTGGG